CAGTATTTGCCTTTTACATCTTCTATTGTCACTTTGGTTAAATGGATATTTTTGTCAAACTTCCCCAAAATCAAATTCTAAATGAAGTCTTTTTGACCTAGAAATAACTTTTGAGGTTTTTCAGAGGGTCCCTGGAACATTTCAAAAGATTTGTTCTCTCTCCTTATAAAAAAGAGAGCTATTAAACTAATCAGGCTTATTTGATATGTTAAATTACTTGGGAAGTATTGTGAATAAGAAGTAATACTAAGCCTTCTTTATGTTATATTTGTATAGCTATATGCTATAAGTGTTCCAAAAATTGTATGAAATTCCTGGAAATCTAACATGTTTTGGTATAATGTTATCAGTCATAATTCCAGTTATCATCTTAAAATGTTGTATATCATATAAATTTCTTCCTGTTTTAATTTGATAAATTTCCTTATCAAATTAACTCCCATCAGATCTTTAACAATGGACATTTTTAAGTCTTTTGTCATTTACAGACAGTTATTGTTTTACTCTGATGATTTTGCAAAAGTGAGACTCATAGAAAGGACCTTAGCAAGCGCTCCTGACCACTGACACTGCTGTGAAACTAGAAGGCATTGGACCATGGGTACACATACCCCAGCTGAAGAAGTCTCCACCTGACATCTGGTCCTACACAGATGCTGGAGACCTCCAAATCACATTGCCTAGGAGACTAGGCAGACTGCTTTCACTCAAGACACCGGATCAAGATTTCATACTTTAAACATGAAATCCTTTCTTCTTCTCTTTCTTTCCTTTACTCTAGCATTGACCTGGAAAGATAATGCCATTCGTACCATTCGTATAATATCCTAAGATAATCATTCATCTCTCCCAGGCCATTGCTAAAGGGGGTAACCTTTCAGACTGCTGGATTTGTCATCAAAAACTCTGATATGTCTATAATGCTGGAGACCCCCTGGTCCTCCTTGTGACCAATTTCTCTTCTGTTCCCAATGTCCCTATAAACTACAATTAACCCACCTTAGAAGTCAGTTACAGACTCTGACTTTTACAGCCAGAACATCCAGTGCCTTGTTTTTACCTTTCTCCAACTATAACTGTACTTGCCCAATTAGACACAAATACCTATGCAAATCGTAGTACATCTGCACCTCCATGTTCTTATGCTTATCTAAATCAGATCTGCCTCCAACCATGAAAAGATCTCATCAGCATCATCCATCTTTGCAAGGAACTTAGAACAACTTTTTATCTCAGGCTAGGAGATTTACTTCCCAAATGTGCTAAAAACCTACCTGACCCCTGGCTTGAATGAGCAAATGCAACAATCCCTGGAAATGAATCCATTAACAGTGCCACCTTAGCAGGAGTGATTTGTTCCTGACAGGATTTATCTTTGTCTGTGGTGGTTATCATTCTCCCTGGGCCTATGAACACATAGATGGCTGTTGTATAACTGGGAAATCCTTTTAGGTTATCTAACTGTGTCCCTAACTGTTTACAAACTGAGACACCTCATTGGTTAACTTGAATTTACATCATCGAGTTAGAAAGGACTTACTAGGAGGGGTTCATGATTCAAGATTCACTTCATTTCTCAGGTCCCTACTTTCCTGGTTAGGAGTGAGTACAAATGAACCTATGATCAGGACCCTCTCCTTAACCCTTGAAGATATTGCAGAATCTGCTGCTAAAGCAATAGATGCCCAAGAAAAATCCTTAGACTCTCTGGCCAAGATTGTTCTTGATAATAGGAGAGTCCTTGATTATCTTTTAGTTGAACAAGGAGGTGTCTCTGCTGTGGCCAACACCACTTGCTGCACCTGGATTAACACTTCTGGGGAAGTTGAAACTCAGCTACATAAGGTCACTGAACAAGCCATTTATCTCAAGAAAGTGACTCCTTCAATGAGGTTTTTCTTTGGCTTATTTGATTTTGATTGGTTTGGGTCTTGGGGACTATGGCTCTGAAGCACACTCCAGACATTGGGAATTATCTTGCTTATAATAATTGTAATAGTCTCCCTGGTGCACTGTATTCTTTCAAAGCTTTAAATGCATGTTCACAGCCACTAGCCAAGCAAGTGATCTCTCTGCGACTGGAACATCAGAAAGGAATGAAGAGAATGACTGACTTAAAAAACGTGAACCTGAAGTTGTGACCTGTGAATACCACACAGAGGATCAACAGAAACCGCAAGAACTTCAGAGTGGTAGCTGGGAGTTGTGCTAATGAGTTAAATTTTGATTACATCTTTCAGTTAGGCTGAGAGTCTGACCAAAAGGCAGGAATTGTTTAAAAAAGAGATAACAGGCCCAAAACGGAGTCACTTGTGCTAAACCCCATATCACCAAACCAAGACTTAATACCTAACTTCATTACAGTTTCAACCTCTCCCAGAAACGGAATCTTAAACCAGTCAACCTGAAATTACCTGGTCAGCACAGGTGAGGTCATCTGCCTGATAGGTCCCTGCTGTCCCCTAAAGGAAGATGACCTTGCCACAAACAATCCTCTCTTTGCTAGTATTACTTCCTTGTCCCACCTCCTTTGGCCTATAAAAGTCTTGCAGTTTGTACAGCTCCTTGGAGCTCCTTTCTATCTGCTAGAAGGGAAGCTGCCCAACTCATGAATCATTAAATAAGGCCAATGAGATCTTTAGAATTTACTCAGTTGAATTCTGTTTTTTAACAATATTGTGATAACTAGTATCAGTGGTATATTATTGAAGTTTCGATTTGTATTTCTGTTGAGTGAGGTTGAACATCTATTCATATATTTAATGACCACTTATATTTCCTTTTCTGTAAAATATTATGTTCCTATATTTTTCCCATTTAAAAATGGATTGTTGGGGGGCCCAGCCCAGTGGTGTAGCAGTTAAGTTCATTCGCTCCACTTTGGCGGCCCAGGGTTTGCAGGTTTGGATCACCACTTGTCAGGCCATGCTGTGGCAGGGTCCCATATAAAGTGGAGCAATACAGGGTTTGCAGGTTTGGATCACCACTTGTCAGGCCATGCTGTGGCAGGGTCCCATATAAAGTGGAGCAATACAGGCACGGATGTCAGCCCGGGGCCAGTCTTCCTCAGCAAAAAAGAAGAGGATTGGCAACAGACGTTAACTCAGGGCTAATCTTTTCACACACACACACACACATACACACACACACACAATGGATTGTTGGTCTTTTTCTTTTTGACTTTAGGAGTTAAGAGATTTTAACTACGGGTTAAATAGGTTTTGTGTGGGTTAGCATGCAAACCAGGTGATTATGTATAATATCTGTATTATTATGTATGTATTACATGTATTAATATCATGTAAAAAATATATCCCAAGTTCTAAGCACCCCATCTACCAAACAATTAACTTTTAAACCTGTTTGTAAGTTGGGAGCTGCCTTTATTTCAGTCCTAATTTTTGCATCTTCTAACTGATCAGAATAGTTTTTATTAATATGGTTATGTACTGGGAAAACCCTAAAAAAAAAATCAATGATTAAACTAATTAAAACAATAAAGTAATTCAGTATTTGGCAGAATATAAATTAACATACAGAGATCAGTAACCTTTATGTCCACAAATAATAACCCATTATAGAGAAATAATAGAAAAGGCCCCATTTCAATAGTGACAGAGAAGATAAAATACTTAAGAATAAATTTAACAAGAAAAGTGCAAAACCAATATGAGGAAAATTTTAAAACACTTCTAAAAGACACAAAAGTAAACCTTAATAAATGGAAGATAATCTTTGTTTTTAGATAGGACAACTTAGTATCATAAAGATTTCAGTTGTCCCTAAATTAATTTATAAATTTAATGCAATTCCAATAAAAATACCAGCAAACATTTTTATGGAACTGGACATGTTGATATTAAAGTTCATATAAAAAAATTAACATGCAGGAATAGCCAGGGAAACATTAAAAATTAAAAGCTATGAGGAGTCACTATCCTTATCACACATTAAAACATATTGTAAAGTCTCTATAACTGAAACGCTGTGGTACTGCTGCATGGGTCAACAGACAGGCCAGTGGAATAAAAAAAAACAGAAATAGACCCAAGTATATATAGAAATTAAGCATCTGATACAGGTGGCATCTCATATCACTGGGGCAAAGATAGACTTCTTTATTTTCTTTATGAGTAGTGCTGGGATAACTGAGTAACCATTTGGAAAAAGGTAAAATTAGATCCATATCTTACGTCACACACAAAAATAAATGCCAATGAGTCAGGGATCTAAATGTGAAAACTGAAACCATAGAAGGACTAGAGGAAAACATAGGTAAATTTTACTTTAACAATGGTGCAAGGAATGTCTAACTATGACTCAAAATCCAGATGCAATACAAGAAAATATTGATAAATCTGACTACATAAAAGAAATAACTTTTGTATGTCAAAAAAACCCCATAATGAAATATTTGACAATTGACGAACTGGGAGAAAATATTTGTGATACATATCACAGTTAAAGAGGTTATCTCTCATATATAAAGAACTCTTAAAATTGAGGGGGAAAAGACCAAAAACCCAATCAAAAATGACACAGACAATTCACAAAAATGATGTAAAAATGTCCCTTCAACATATGAAAAGATGTTTAACCTTACTCATAATAAGAGAAATGCAAAAAAAAAAACAAACAAAAACAATCCTGAGGTACTATCAGATTGGCCAAAATTAAAAAGTATAGTACTTTTTAGTAGCTGGTGATAATGAAAATTGGTACAATCCATTTGCATATGGAAAGGGAGGAAACAGAATTGGAAGTATTCACTATGAATTCATGGTTTGATATCTATACATAAGTATCAATATAGTATGTGGGTGTGTATATATACATACTTATGTATGTGTGCATGTGTATACATGTGTCTAGTTCCTATCTTTGTCTGGTGAGAGATCCTAGAAGCAATGACAGCCCAGTAGCAATAAGCACACTTTTAGCACAGATTTTGGTTTCTAGATGCCACCCTACGCTAAAAGAAATCAGGGTTCCTTGGAGAAATGGCTGATTCAAGGGTTGGAGAAGGAAAAGTACAAGATAAACCTAGAATTTCTCCTTGTACCAAAAGGTAAGGGAGTGCTCAAAGATTGAAGAGGACATGCCAAAACAAACAACAGCCAGATTGATGGGGCTCCCACTGGCCAAATCAGACCAAATGAGAGCATTGAAATAATTATAGTAAACTACTACATCATATTGATTAAACAAGAATCCATGAGTTCATAGTGATATAAATAATTAAACAAATAATGGGGAAGAAGGCAAAGTTCTTCCTTACAGTAGAAAAACAACTAATAAATATAGAAGGAATGATGGAATTAGAAAATCACCATTTGGCAACCATCCTAATAGTAATTGATTAAAGCAAGAAGCATCAGTTGGTGCTAAAAATAATAAGCAAAAGTTTTAGGAAAAACAGAATATATACATATTCTCAAAGTATCTCCTCATAAAATAATTATTAATTACAAGGGAAAAATAGTAACTTTACAGTGAATAAATGGCTGCCTTAACAAAGGGATCAATAATAAAGCAAATCAACATCATGTGCCTCTTAACATGAAGCACTGAGAAGGAAACAACATCACTTTTGTGATATTTCTGCATAAACCGATAACCTGAGTCTAATCATTAGGAAACATCAGACAAACCCCAGTTGAGAGATTTTACAATAATTAGCCTGTACTGCACATCATAGCTGTTCAAGACATAGATGAATAATAGAATTAACCCTTTTTAATTAACTAATTTGCACATTTCTGGAGCACTACTAACATAAGCTTTTATTTGAAAATGCAGGACGTGAGAAGGCTCTGTGCAAGTTTAGCTAGTTTCTGGAGCCATTGTCAAAGGAGGAACTGTTCCTGCAGATTAGCAGCTATTGTTCGGACAATTTGATTTCTATCAGGAAGAATAGGGAGAAACAGGTATGGGAGAAGGCCATGCAGGGCCACAGTGGAAAATTCTTAGGCCTTTAAGGTCTCTTACAAGGTCTTTAAATGAAATTTTCAAGCCTTAACATAATGAGAGTCAAACAGCTCTTCAAAATTATTCTCTTTAATTTAATGCTAAATTTTTAATTTTTCTTGCTAAAGTTCATTGATTTCACCAGAGATGAAAAGCTGATGTAACATAAACTAATCTACTTCATGCAAAGAAAAAAAATTATATGTATGTAAGAGGGAAACTATGTGTTAAATAAAAACAAGATAAAATCATGACCCTTACACCGATATAAAAATGAATACGTTAAAGATTGTATTTAACTTATTAATGAGGGAACTGGTAAGGGGTTAATATCAGTTCAAAGGACAATCCAAGGAACAGATCAGCTATGTGGACTGAAATAGAGTCTTGGTAAATGTTAAATGAAGGAGTTTACTCCGTAATCAAGGTGAGGAACTCAAGTCCAGGGAAATAGTCCAACAGAGTATTCTGAGGAAGTGCTCCGAGGTCTACAGATCTGAGTGCAGTTTTTATACCTTTTAACAAAGCAGTGTTCATGCAGGAAAGGGCTTACACATCTAATAGTCATATACTTCAAGGATAACAAGCACTTTTTGGTTATATGTCAAACAAGGCTCCTAATATTGGTGTTATCTATGTGTGGAGGGAGGCAAGGACCTGGGTCATTACTTTTTCCCTCAATCTCTAAGAAATGTAGTTGGGAAATGTGAGAATGAGGTGCCCATTATCTCTTCCTGTTGTTGATTCATCCTGCTGGTGTTTTCAGTTATGAGGTGAGTGGTTGCAAGACCATTTAGACACAGGTTTATGAGGCCTGCATGGCTGCTTGACAGGACAGCATGGATTTTTGTACCGACTTTAAGCCTATGCAGCTTGCTTGCTAGAGTCTCCTGGTAGACCAGGGAGAGGGGTCCCAGTTTATTTACAATCCCCTCTTTGATCATCATCAATCCATGGCTGCATTTATGACCAATGAGGTGTTTCTTTTGTTTTTCTCTGACAACCAACAAACCTAAATAAGCTTTTATTTACCAAATATTTTATATCATGTTAACTTGAAAAACATTTGGGTTAGTTTCTATTGCATTTAGAAATAATTTATATCAGTGCTTACTTTAAGCCAATTAAATAGAGCTCTTTTAGAAATTATACCAACCGGAGGCAGACAAATATATATAGAGAGAGACATACACATATAGACATTCAGATAGACATAAACAGAGATATTTAAACATTTTAGCCATGTCTCAGGTACAAAACTCAAAAGAATATTTGGATCCAAATTGTGTTTCTGACAGATGGACTAAATTAATGTTATCTTCTCAGATGGCTAACGATTTTTACTGAAGATTCTTTTCTTTTTTGTTGTAAGCATCCTTTTTAGAGCTGTTTTTTAAGCCATTTGGTCTTTTAGAAGCTTCTGCATATCAATCAAAAAATGTATTCTACTGTCTCTGAGAGGTTTTGAATCCTCTCTTTTAAGAGTGACCCTTAAGGTGGACTCATCTGAAAAAGTTCCCCAGAGTGGCCGTTATAATTTCAAATTATCTCAAAAGTTTACCTGTTTCCACTTGCTTAGTTTTAGGTCAGGAATTTCAGGGGAGTTGAAGCAGAGGAGCTCAGCGAGAGAGGAGAGAGGAGTAGCAGATTTGCTTCCATTTTTGCTGGTGCAGTTGCGTTGCAGCCGTCATTCTCCAATTCAGCATGTCTTTCATTTAATTATTTTCTTTTAAAGAGGCAATAAAGGATTCTTGATTTCATTTAGAAGCCTCAAAAATTAAAATAGGCTTCCCATTGGTTGTTTAATTTTATAGCTGGCTTTCTCCAATTGAGTATGCAAATATACAAGTTTGGATAAATTGAAACTGCCCCCTTTTACCATTTTAAAGTGAGATATCCTTTAGTAATATCCTCCCATTTAGGGAGCCACTTGCAAGCACGTGCTGTATAAAGTTTGTTGGAGTGTTAGCAGGTGGCTGTCTATTGGATGCCCCATTGTTTCCAGGTTTCAATGTTTCATTTCCCATTCTGGTTCAGCACTAGCTGAACCAGTTGTCAGTTGTCAAGGAGGCACATAGGGGAAAACTCTGACTCAAGCCATCAGTTATTTTCCTAATTTTTCTTAGCTCAAAGGCCAAGAAACACTGAGCACCCAGTGTGGAATCCCCTTCTCTGTGAACACAGAGGATAACCTGTCCCACGGAGACAAACACAATTATCAAATAAACTCAAGGACCTTCAACCATTGATCAGGAGATCCGAGACCCAGGAAAGACTTATCTGCCACAGCTGGAGCTTCGGGGAGCCAGAGGGGCTCAAAAGTCCCTGCTGCCACCATGGCACTGAGTTCTCTCAGCGCTCTGGGAGGTCTCAGGCAGTCTCTCTGGGTCCCTTCATGGTCTCCAATTTGTGGACTGAAATAGTCTAGGTAAAGGTTAGTTAATGGTGTTTATTCGATAATCGAGGTGAGGAACTCAAGTCCAGGGAAATAGTCCAACAGAGTATTCTGAGGAACTGCTCCAAGGTCTACAGATCTGAGTGCAGCTTTTATACCTTTTAACAAAGCAGTGTTCATGCAGGAAAGAGCTTACACATCTAATAGTCATATACTTCAAGGATAACAAGAATTTTTGGTTATACATCAAACAAGGCTCGTAACGTTGATGTTATCTATGTGTCAAGAGAGGCAAAGACCAGGGTCATTACTTGTTCCCTCAATCTCTAAGAAATGTAGTTGGGAAATGTGAGAGTGAGGTGACCATTATCTCTTTCTGTTGCTGATTCATCCTGCTGGTGTCTTCAGTCAAGAGGTGAGGGGTTGCAAGACCATTTAGACACAGGCTTATGAGGCCTGCATGGCTGCTTGACAGGACAGCATGGACTTTTGCACCGACTTTAAGCCTACGGACCTTGCTTGCTAGATTTGCCTGTTAGACCAGGCAGCAGGGTCCTGGCTTCATTTGCAGGTGTATTAAAATAAATGTGCAAGTGGAAACAAAACTGTTTTTTCCATGATGGTGGGGGAAAGGGTGTCACACCACTGGGTAAGATTCATTTGCAGATGTATAAAGAAGAGTTAGTTTCCATTGCTATCAGTTGCTAGAACTTTACAACTTATAAAGTTGTAAAATAATCCCCATGGAATCAGACTCAGATAACCTGAAAGGATGCAGGGCATAATTTTTTCCCCTTCTATCTTCAGACATAGAATAGGCAGAAAGTCTTGGACAGCAATGGGAATATACTGGTCATGAGGCTAACTTCCCGATTCAGTGAGCATGTGGTTACGGGAATTTTTCTTTCCATCCACAGGCTATTTCAGGTAAATTATATACTATACTTCTTTGGTTCACTACTTGATTGTCAGAGAGCCAGCTCTGAAGGGGATGATTCCTGGACAAGCTAATGAGCTACTCAATGGCCACCCCAAACAACTCCCAGAGGAGCCTAAATAAAACTGCATCTTCAAAAGGGCACTGTGCAGTCGGAGTGTATTTGGCCCTCTTTTTGCTAGTGGGGAGGAAGTGGCTTCTTGGGCGACACTATTCATAGATGAATCTGAAACGCCATCGGGACCTCTCTGCCTCTTCATCGTCCTCCCACCTGCACGAGGCTGGGTTCTTTCGCCAGACATAAATCTGCTGGAAACGATTCCCCTACAACCTTTACAACATCCTAACTCAGGATCTGGAGTCAGAACTGGGTTTGGGTTAGGCTCAACCAACTACAAGCTTGTTTATTCTGGGGGGAGAAAAAAGGGGCATTTATTATAACTCCTAGCTGCCACGGTTGTTGGGAGATGGAAAGAGATGAGGGCTGTGAAAAGGGCTTGTAAACTGTGAAGTTATTAAAAGAACAAATCTGCTCCTCTTTTAGGATGCCACGAGGCAAAGTTCAGCGCTGGCAAGATAAGCGAGCTCGGCTCCTCTCAAGCATCCACGGAGCGGCCGCGGAGCTGGGCAGCAGGAGCCCCACGAGCTCTCGGCTGGCTCCGCCCCCGCCCCCGGCAGGCCGGGTCAGAGGCGGCGGGGGCTGGTGTCAAAGGAGGAACTGTTCCTGCAGATTAGCAGCTATTGTTCGGACAATTTGATTTCTATCAGGAAGAATAGGGAGAAACAGGTATGGGAGAAG